CTGTGCGACCCAGAGGGACCCTAGTGGCTGCAGATTGGTCTTCCTGTTTCCGACTATCTCTGGAATAGGCAGGGCTTGGGTTTTAGGAGAGGGCCTGGGAGCATCTTCTGTACGTGTAAGTCCCATGTGCCCCGACTGGCGCCTCATGGGTGCCAGTCCATCTGGGCTGCCCAGGCCTGTGCCCTTGTGTTGGCTCTGCTGGGCCTGTCTTGTTTACATTCCTCCGCTAGCCCAAATCACAGCCCTCAGACTGTTGGCTGCATATGGTGGGAGGAGAGTTTGGGGCCTCAGATGAAGGGACAGAAACTTCCCTGCGAGCTCAGCCAGGAAATCTTAGAACAGGGGTTGGCAACCTTTCAGAAGTGGTGTGCCGAGTCTTCATTTATTCACTCTAATTTAAGGTTTCGCATGCCAGTAATACATTTTAATGTTTTTAGAAGGTCTCTTTCTATAAGTCTATAATATATAACTAAACTATTGTTGTATGTAAAGTAAATAAGGTTTTTAAAATGTTTAAGAAGCTTCATTTAAAAACAAATTAAAATGCAGAGCCCCCCTGGACCGGTGGCCAGGACCCGGGCAGTGTGAGTGCCACTGAAAATCAGCTTGCGTGCTGCCTTTGGCACGCGTGCCATAGGTTGCCTACCCCTGGCTTAGAACTTCCTTCAGAAATGAGGGTCTGTCCCAGAGGGCTGCACTGGGGAGACCCCCAGCCATCAGGAGAGAGTGAAACACTGAGCGGAAGGATTTCAGATGTCTCTGAAGCATGAGCCAATATTGTGGTCCCCGCCCACCCACCATGCTGTCATGAGCAATGGGGCTGTTGTTAACACCTGAATGTCCATTCTGTTCAGGATGCAGCAAGAAAGCCGCTGCTGGGAATCCATCATTCCCTGAGCTCATTCAGGGCCCCCCATGGCATTGAGGCAGTCGAGGACTCTATATCATTCCTGGGCTGGGGGGCTCGGTGAGCCAAAGGCAAGTTGGAACCGTCCCAGGGCCCCAGATAATGGGACTGACGGCATGTCTTGCCCTCTTTTTTCTCCCAGTCTGGCACATCCATCTCCAACCTCTGCCGAGGTTCCCTCTCACCCAGCTCTGTGGTAATGGAGCTCAGAGGAGCTCCAGACTCGGTCTGTATTTTGATCCAGGTCTTCTGTGACTCCTGCTATCAGGGCAAAAAAGCCACCCGCCGCCCCCACACCCCCAGTGCGGCAGGGGAGGGCGCCGAGCCCGGCCGCAGGCCCGCAATTCCCAACCGGCCGGAGCGCCGGGGGGAGGGCGGCAAGCCCGTCGCGGCTCCGCTCTCCCCGGCAGCCAGAGCGCCAGGAGCAGGGCGGAGAGCCCGGCCGGGTCTCTCTGCTCTTCCCGGCGGCCAGAGTGCTGGGGGGAGGGCGGTGAGCCTGCTGCAGCTCTCCGCTCTTCCCGACTGGCCGGAGCACTGGGGGGAGGATGGCGAGCCCGGCAGGGGCTCTCCGCTCTCCCTGGCAGCCAGAGTGCCTGGGGGAGGGCAGAGAGCCCCTGGCGGCCAGAGCGCCGGGGGGAGGGCGGTGAGCCCAGTCGCGTCCCTGCTCTCGGTCCAGAGCGCCCCACCGCCCCCCTCCATGCGCCGCCCCAAGCACATGCTTGGTGGGCTGGTGCCTGGAGCCGGCCCTGCCTGCTATCTGCATGGAACTGTTACCCCCACCCAAAGATAAGAGGGGCTGCACCAAGCCTGATCTTTCACCCTCTCCCCTCGTCACACCTGCTGGGACTCTTGCTATGCAGCCTGGCCCAGTTGGGGGGACTGTAAAGTTGCCCGAAGGAGAAGGAAAAATTCCTGTTCCCCCCACCTCTATCTCCCACTCCCCCAAACACAGAAAGGCAGGGAGATCCAACCAGCTCTTTGCTTTCTCCTCCTCCAGCGGTGAAATGTAAGACCGGCCCCCTGGACATTGTGTTTGTGATCGACAGCTCGCGCAGCGTGCGCCCCTTCGAGTTCGAGACCATGCGGCGGTTCCTGATCGACATCATCCAGAACCTGGAGGTGGGGCCCAACGCCACACGGGTGGGGGTAATCCAGTACTCCAGCCAGGTGCAGAACATCTTCTCCCTCAAGACCTTCTTCAAGCGGGCTGACATGGAGAAGGCCATCAACAGCATTGTGCCACTGGCCCAGGGCACCATGACGGGGCTAGCCATCCAGTATGCCATGAACCTGGCCTTCACCGTCCAGGAGGGAGCACGCCCGCTGCACAAGAAGATCCCCCGTGTGGCCGTCATCGTGACGGACGGGCGGCCCCAGGACCGCGTGACGGAGGTGGCGGCACAGGCACGGGGTGCTGGCATTGAGATCTACGCCGTGGGCGTCCAGCGGGCAGACATGAACTCCTTGCGGGCCATGGCCTCCCACCCTCTGGAGGAGCACGTCTTCCTGGTGGAGTCTTTCGATCTCATCCAGCAGTTCGGCAAACAGTTCCAGGACAAGCTGTGTGGTGAGTGAAGGGGACAGAACCCTAGCCACAGCCTGCTGTGGGACCAGACCATCCAGATGTGGAGGGTCAGAATGAAACATGAGCTGGGCGGTGGTTGGGAGTGGCAGCTGCTCCTGCCTTTCGCCTCTGGAGCCTTGCTGAGATCATGGGTGCAGTGAGCCTGGGGTGTCTCCCCCACCTCACAAAACCCCGGCGCAATTCAGAGCAGCTGTTATTCTGTGCTCAGGAGAAATCCACTTCTGGAGAAGCAGAGAGAACTCTAAGGGTGAGGTTAAAGAACTGAGTGTTGGTGCCTAGGACTGGGATAGCTGGAGGCGCTGCAGTGTCAGGACTAAGGTGCATTGCCCATGCAATTGAGGGGAACAGGACAGGAAGAGCAGGCACTGATGCAGGGTCAGGACTGAGGTGCATTGGCTGATCTGTGCGCAGGAAGCTCACAGCGCATCTGTCTGCATGATACCTGTTCATAAAAAGGCTTGAGTGAAGACCTGTGTCTTTCAGGTGTGCACAGAGCTGGACCCTGGCTGCTAGCACACCTGTGTCAGCATCCTGGGCTCCTTCTGTTGACTTCAGTGGCCTTCAAACCATGCCCTAAGAGAACAAAACCAGCCCATTGCTAAGTCAGCTTCTGCTGTATAAGAACTGAGCTGTCGGGGAGCAACATTTGCCAAGGGTAGTGCAGAAGGGGAAATGTTGTGATGGTGATGCTCCTGAGAAGCTGCTACAGACAATGAGGAGATAACACTCATGCCAGACTCCTTGACAGTGACTCTTTAAGGGGAGTCTCCCTTTTTCTCGCCCTTTCCCTTAATTGTTTCCAAACAGTTCATAAGCCAGCACATTTGCTTACCTCGATCTGCCCTATGTAGTATTTCTGAGCTGCATTTGCTGAGGCTGGGGGGAAGCGGCACAAGTGACAGTATGGACGTGAGATCACAGAAACATAGAGCTGGCTTCCCCCAAATTGAAGGGATGGGCGGGGTCATAGAGCTCAGAAATGTGAGAGGCCTTTGGCAAGGTTGGAATCTTGCTTGCCTCATGTTGTTCTGCATGGGCAGATTTCCTGTCCAGCTACCCGGTGGACTACACGCGCAGTGCAGTAACTCTGAGCAGTTGCCATATGCCACTGTCTGTGCATCTGTATTTAATAAAGCCTGGCTTGGTATCACTTCTTTGCAATCACCTTGTTGGCCTTGGCCTGAAGAGGGGAGGCCTGTTTCCACCGCAAGCTGCTTTGCACTGCATCAGCTCAGTAATTGTAAAGGCTGGTGCCTGGTTGCCCCTCCTGTGCCGACAGACAATACTGGGCCTTGGGGACTTTGCCCAGGAGTTTGTGTTGCAGCCAGTTGCTGTGACCTTGGTTGCAACTTCTAAGGTGACTGTTCAGTGAAAGGACAAAAGGACACAGTCAGCTTTTCTTTGTGGGAAACTTGAAGCCTCTGTGAACTAGTGTCTGGCCCCCACAGCTTGCTGTCCCATCCGTGGCCAAATCTGAAGCCTTGTCTATGCACAACCATGCACTGGTTAAGTTAAACCGGGGGAAATGCTCATGTCAACACTTATTTTGAATGAAGAGTGGCATACTGCAGTTAGCTGGAGCCATTACTTACTCAGCTTAAACCGCTACTGCTAATAATACCGAGCTCTTACACATCCCTACCAGCAGCACATCTCAAAGCACTTGACAAAGAAGGTGACTTGCCCATGGTCATCTAGCAGGCCAGTGGCAGAGTCAGGAATAGAAGCCAGTCTTCTGAGTCACTGGTGCTTTATCTGCTAGGCCACACTGCCTCTTGCATGCTCTGAGCTGGCAGGTTGCGCAGCTTCTCCATGGTTTCATACATGCCCTGGCAGCTGCGCAGCTTGTCCACCGAGCCCAGAGCGTTGCGGAGAAGGACCAGGCCCACCCAGAAGACGATCTTCACCCCCTCGCAGAAGAACATATCCCAGACGCGCAGCACAGAAGCCCAGGGCAGGGTGCGGGAGAAGATACACATGAACCACTCCGTCATGTAGAGGATGGGGTCGATCTTGTTAGTCTTTAAGGTGCCACCAGACTCCTTGTTGTTTCCCTAAACCAAAGTAAGCCTGGTTTAAGGAAGTACTTCTTCTCACAAGGCACAGTCAACCTGTGGAACTCATTGCTAGGGGATTTTGTGAAGGCCAAAACTATTACTGGATTCAAAAAAGAATTAGATATGCTCATGGCGGATAGGTCCATTGATGACTATTAGCCAAGATGGTCAGGGGTGCAACCCCAGCTCTGGGTGTCCCCAGGCCTCCGATTGCCAGATGCTGCCATTGACAGGATGACAGGGGATGGATCACTTGATGATTGCCCTGTTTTGTTCATTCCCTTTGAAGCATCTGGCATTGGCTATTGTTGGAAGACAAGATACTGGGCTAGATGGACCATTGGTCTGACCCAGTATGGCTGTTCTTATGTTCTTAAACCGAAATTAAGGCATTCACCCAGACTTTTGCACTGGTTTAACTATATCAGTGTAAAGTCACACTGTTAGTTAAGCTGGGGTAAATCTCCATGTAGACAAGTCCTGAATCTTATTAGGTCTGTGGGTTTTCCCGGCTCCGGGATGTGAGCTGAGATTAGAACATTTCTTAGATCCTTTATCGCAAGATCCAGAGACCCAAGACCGTGTTTAGCTGAAGAAATCCTAAACAACTAGCACTGTGCAGCGTCAGTAACGTGGAGAACTCTGGCAAGAAATAATCACTAACTTGTGGGGCTGTTAAGGACCCAGAGGAGTTTCAGCAGTGTGCTGGTAGCAGCTGTCATGTTGCCCCTGTGGTGGGCGAGTGGTCTCTATGTGTACATAGGCTGGAATTCAATCTGAGATGCTTTGGGGGATGAAAACCTTGGAGAATGTAAGTTATAACAACCGATAGCAGTGACCTGAACACCATCAGCAGACACTGCAGTGATGCAGGCAATATAAGAACTTAGATCACCTGACACATGCTCTGAGTCAATGAATCCCCAACATAGCCAACTGTGTCTTTCAGGTGTGGATATGTGCACAGAGATGGACCATGGCTGCCAGCACACCTGTGTCAGTGTCCCAGGCTCCTTCTATTGTGAATGTAACCCTGGATACAAGCTCAACACAGATGGAAAGACATGTTCCCGTAAGAGCATATTTTATTTGATCTACGTTTATATCTTAGATCTCAAAGCGTTTTACAAAGGAGACTAGTGTCATTATCCTTGCTTTACAAATGGGGAATCTGAGACACGGGGTTAGAGAGACTTGCCTAAGGTCACCATGCAGACCAGGGGCAGAGCAGGGAATAGAATCCAGGTCTCCTGAGTCCCAGTTTAATGTTCTATTCACGAGGCCACATTGCCCCCCATTTTGACTAGCTTGCTGGTGTTGTGCTGGACGTAGGTACTAGAGCTAATTAGTTATTAGTACTTTTTGACCATAGGCCTAGGTCTGCGTTAAGAACCCTTGCAGAGAGCAATAGGAACGGCCGGCAGACTGGATTTCGTTCTATTGTGAAGTGATAATCGTGTTGCTGAGATGGGAATGACTCATCTGAAACATAACCACCCACAGCTGCAGCATCTTTTCATTTGTCAGAAATACCCTTGAACTCTGTACGTGGTTCCTGCATAGTGTCACCAGACCGAGTGCTGGCAGGGGGGGAATGTGCCTTCAAATGAGCAAAAGACAAAATACCTAGGCTCTGTGTTTTGGAAATGGGCTGTAATTGCATGGGCCCACAATGGCCATCAGGTCCCCTCTTTCTGCCCCTATGTCAGTGTGTTTGTAGTGTGTTTGTGCGACACGCTTCCCCACCCTCGTTTCAGACATGTCCTGTCTGTGCTGTGTCTTCTTTCTGAGGCCAGGAGGGCAGAGGTGAGGGTGGCCCCCCTCTGGGGGCACCGAGGAGTGAGGTGGTGAAGGAATGGGTAAGAAGGTGGTTCCTTTTTCTCTGTAGCCATTGATGCCTGCGCTGATGGGAAGCATGGCTGTGAGCACCAGTGTGTCAGCTCTCGTGGGTCCTACACCTGCCACTGCCGGACGGGTTACAATCTCAACCAGGACAAAAAGACCTGTACCGGTACGTGACTGTCTCCTCTATGCCTCCTCCTCTTGTTTCTCATTCTCTGTTCTTTGCCCCTCATCACCCCAGACATTCCCCTCCTTCTCACCATGCCCTCTGTCTATGTCCCCCTGCCCTCAGCCCTTGTGGAGAGCCCAGCCATCGCTC